TATTTATGGCAAAAGTATTATAATAAGCTTATTTATAAAACAATTGTAGTATAGCTTGCCTTTTTATGTTCAACTTCGAATAAAAAAAATTGAAGGAACATAAGGTTTAATATTTTAAAATTAATTTTAAAAAATGATTTTAAAAAATGTTGATAAGACAAAAAACACATTTTTGTTATCAAATTCTCTGATAAGGTCAAAACCGGTGATCGCTGTATACAATTGTATGTAGGAGGTTATATGTAACGTATTTAAAGAATATTTGGTTCATAAATATCAATAATTCTAATCAAAACATCAATGTGCCATATTACCCTAATATGTCATATTAAGCCAGTCTCCCCTACCTACCTAAACATACTGTAACAGAATGGCCTGAAAAACATTACACTACTTATATGACTACAATCATGAAAATGTCATGGATAATAAATAATTTAAGAAATATTCTCATGTCAGGAAATTTCCAAAAACAATATTTTGAAAAAAGTTATTATGTTTTAAATTAATTTGCTTCAAAATAATAATATTAAAAAAATTTAAAAAAATAAGCTACTTGATTTAAATATACGTTTTTTTTTATCAAAATGTGTTTAAAAATTAGATTTACAAATTGGGTACTTATTTTAAATTTTTCAAAAAAAAAAATTAGGTAGGTACTTATTATATACAATTTTAGATTCCGAGCGGAGTGATGAATGTATTGATTTTCCAATCATGTGTGTTTTTTTTAATTTAAAATTTTAAATTGTTGTGTCTGCCGTCACTGTTTGGGGTAGTAGAACTGCTTCTATTTTCTTCAACAGTGTCTTGTTAAAGGTGAATTAAGTAAGTGCATTCGGGAGGTCAAAATTTAAAATTTCCAATAGTTTTCAAAAGAAAATTAAGAAAAAACAGGCATTTTTACGCCTAATAGGTTTTTGACAAAATCAACTTTAGTTTTTTTTATAATTCTAAAACAAATGACCGTAAATACATCAAATTTTTACTGAATGTTTATATTAGAATTTTCTATGAACCATAACATTTTCAACTTTTATTTTGAGCTGTTTTCGGACATTTTCAGTTTCGATTTTATTTTTTTTCTATAAATATCAATAAAATTCTATTTGTAGGGTAAAAACTCTTGAACATTTAATTGAAGGCTCCTAATATATTTTTTCAAAGGAAGATGAAAAATATTAAAAATCCATCGTCACAATTCTTATTTTTTAAGCATTTACAGTTCAAATATTGACAAAATACGCAAAAATGCACAAATTATTTTTAGCTAGAAATTCGTAAAAGTTTTTATTTTTAAAACTCAGATTTGAAAATGTTATACAAGATTCATCATAATTTTGTCTACTTTTGTCAAAAAAATTATCTACCAGAAAGTAAAATTAAATTTTTATGAGCGTTTGAAGTTCAAATTTTTACAACATTGGATATCAACTCGATTTGTCATGTAGCGATTTCCTTATTTTTTTGTAATTCAAAAATGAATAACTGTAAATTTATGAAAATTTCACTGAATATTTATATTCTCATTTTCTATACACCATAACAATTTTGAAAATATTTTGACTCATTTTGAGGTGTTTACGGACAATTTCAAATTTCAATTTGTTTAGTTTTTTTTTTATAAATATCAATTATATTTTATTTTGTGGGCTAAACAGTTTGAAAATTTAATATAAGGCTCCTGATATATTGTTACAATAGCAGTTTAAAAATAGAAAAAATACAAATATAGGCACAATTTTTTATATAAGTATATAAAGTTCGAATTTATCAAAATCTCGAAAATTATCAATAATTGTATTTTTAAAAAATTATAAAATGTACAGTTTTTAATTTTTTATAACTATGGATTAAAAATGTAAAACAAAGATTCTCATAAATAGTTCATACTGTAACCAAAAAATCTATAAAATATAGTTGAAGAATATAGTTATAAGAAACATTTATTTTTTACTGACATTTTTAATTCAAATTTGGACGAAATGACATATTAAAACCAAGAATAATGATTTTAGTTATTTTGTTGCAATTTAAAATATTATTTGTGTGTATGAAACTTTTAGAGTATATTGTTATATTTTATAAACACGCAATAACATTTTCAAATGTAATTTTTTCTTTAACAATGAATTTAACCTACTATAGTAAATACTATAATTCCTAATACTGAAATTAATTACCTAAGTACTTTATTCACAATAGTATCATCAAATACTGTATATTAACCGTCTTTTCCGTAGACAATGATATTATATCATTAAGTTCAAATTTAATACCATTCATTACACTGACATCCACTTGCCCACCTTTTTATTGGTGTTATAAATAGGTATTATACTATACTTACAAAAGTCTATAAATTATTTAAAATAAATATTTAAATGATTAGAACAAAAGTTACCTATTCAATTTGTCGAGTGTTTCTGTTATACATCGTGTATAAGTTCATAAAACATAAGTGCAATTAAAGTAAAAAAAATTGCCCTAAAACACCTAGGGCCGCTAATAAATTGGAAGTGTGCCGGACCCGTCCCAGTCCGCCCCTGATCCTTACTAATTTGGACAAATATTAGATCTTAAGAGTTCTATGTAAAATAATGCGGCCTCGTTGAGTTTATTTCCCATAGCGAGTTTAAAAAATTGTATATAATTTCCTAAAAATATATATATGGTTAGGTAGGACTTTAAAAAATATAAATTATCTTGAATTAGTTATATTTTCTCAACCAATTATTGGCTACAGGTAATATTTTTTCTTGGATAACTGTCTTACCAATATTTAAAAAGATTAAATCGTTCCTCTATAATAAACTATCGTTGTATTTCAAAAACATTGATGACTCCAAAAATATTTACTATTATTATGAATTTTAAAATTACTAATATTGGGTTTAATTGGTTAATCTTATAAATTAAAAACACGGATTTAGACAAAATTGTTCTACATTAACTTTTAGCTTGCTAAATATAGTATAAATCCTGCATTTTCCAAAATTTTCCTCCGCCATATTCCTTAGAGTATAGCAGAAATAAACTTCCCTAAAAAACATGGAAAATAATAATTTGAGAACCTCGGTTGAGAAACGCTGATTTAATTTAAGTTCTTAAACCGATGTCATCTATACTGATTTAAAAAAAAGTTTTTGATCACGTATACCAGGTGAGTTGTCCAAACAGGAGCTTTAAGCCTTTTTTTTGGCCCTCCTTAGAAGACATTTAATAATTTCAGTGTTTATAACTAATATAATAACTTGTGTATTATATTATAACATTATATTTGTAATAAAATTAAAACACATTTTTTTTTCCTTCTTCTTGGTGTTTTAATATGTGTAAATTGGCCTGCCAACTACCTACTAAAGGTTAGAGCACCCTGACTTATATGCAGGTGGCATTAAATAAAGCAATATTTATAATGTGTTTCAAGCGTTCCAGCATATTTTTTTTTTCGTCTACCAAAAACCACTGATAACACATATCTTTCTGCTATCACATTTCTGATTTTGGCAATTGATTGTTCATTATTTGATATTTGAAAAATTTTATTTTAAAATTAGTCAAAAGAGACTAACTGCATTGTTATTTATTTATTTAATAAAAATGATAGTATTTATATATTATTATATCTGTTTTTAATTATTTTAATTGCATGAAAAAGGCAATTTCAACTATTTCTATGACGGTGCTAATTGCCTAACAAATTATATAATTTGTACTTTATCAAAAATGTTTTTTATTTGTAAATTATAATCTGGACACTGGGCTGGTGGAAGTTTTTTTTTTTTTAGCTACTTCTAGCATATTTTGAAGGGAAAAATAAATAGAATATTATAGTAGCTTTTTTTTTGATATGGTATTTGCATATTATAGGTTTTATTTTATGGCAACACTGACTAGGAAGCGTTAAGACCAGCTACGTACAACGGAAATCGGCAGAGGCCTGAGGCACTTCGAACCCGTTAAAAATTACTAATTAGTCGTATACAGTCCTCTCTATCTAAGTCCGTGGAATAAACTGTTTACGATTCACTGTACCCCACGATTTAAGTGCTGTACCTACATCATTTTGGAGACCAGTTTCAATACGGCGTTGAGTAACGTTCTGTGTGAGTATATATCATCTTAAATCGTAGCCTAACCTTAAACTTAACCGGCCGGGCCATAGCGCGTCTAGTATTCTTTTATATTTATCCACGGTCTAAGAATCTTTTAAGACCATGCTTTTATCTATAGTGTCTATAATGATACCAAGCTTACACGAGCCTTGGCCCATGTGTCATTAACTATGTGATAATTAACAAATGATGAATCGATTCTCCCTGCCCCTGGGCTAACTATGGCTACTGGGTAAAATAATAATTCGAGAACCTCATTTGAGAAACGCTGATTTAATTTAATTAAAATATTATTTACATTTTTTTTGGTACTGAATTATTTGACTTAATGGTCCTAATTAGTTATGACAACACATTAGCTCTTAAAAATATAATTTTTTATAGCCTCTAGGTACCCAAAAAATTACATAATAATATAGGATGTAGAGTGTAGACGTATAGTATAGGTAGCTGATAATTGTAATTAACTAGCTATGTAATAATGTAATAATGTATCAATGTTAGATATTTATAAATATTTAAGTACAGTTACCTAATAAGTAATAATAATCATATACCTTATATAAAAATGTCAAAAAGATTGATACTTAAGAATAAAAGTTATTACAAATAGTAATTACATATTATTCATATCTGTCAGTTCCTTATGTTATACCCTATATTTATAATTACAAATGTTGGTAAAAATCTATTGTCTTTATTTTTTAAATGTTAATCTAATTTATTGTTATATTAACACATTGTTTTTAGGGAACATCTGATAATCATTTTCAACGTGCCCAAGCCTTGCGATCTGCAGGTTTTTTCATCACCACAGATTCAGCTTTTGGAAATTCTATACTACCTGTCCTGCCACTCATTGAAAAATAATTCTCAACCACCATGGCAAGTATGAAGTTAAAGACGTTACAGCATGCACTTGAAGATATTAAAACATTTGAAAACCCAAAAATTGAACTAGAACAATATACTACATCGTCCCATATTGCAGCTTGTATTCTACATACAGCCCAATTTGTATATAACGACATTAGTGGTAAATGTGTAGCTGATTTAGGATGTGGTTCAGGAGTGTTGGTTATTGGTGCCGCTTTGTTAGGTGCCCAATATTGTGCAGGTTATAAACATTCTATAGTCTACAGTATGGTGTTAGGATATTTAAAAATAATAATTTCTGTCTGTTTTATTTGTTTCATAGGTTTTGATACAGATGCATCTGCTATTTCCCTGAGTGTGGAAAATGCTGCTGATCGTGATGTCTTAGGCAAATGTGATTTTATTTTATGTGATGTAAAAAATATTGATAAAAACATGCAACTTAAAGCATTTGATACTGTCATAATGAATCCACCGTTTGGAACGAGAGAAAGGGGAGCCGATGAAATATTCTTAAAAATGGCTTTAAGTCTTGCTACTAAAGCTGTATATTCACTCCATAAAACAAGCACGAGAAAACATATTATATCCATGGCAAAAAAATTGGGTGTAAATGCCAAGGTTATTGCAGAGTTAAGATTTAATCTACCAGCTTCTTATAAGTTTTATAGACAAGATTCTGTTGACGTGAAAGTTGATTTAATACGTTTTTTACTACCATTACCAGTTAATAATCTCTTAACTAATTTTGTATAATTCACATTCATATAAGAGGATGCAATTTACATTTTGAAGATTATTACACGTTAACACAATTTAAATCGATGAATTTTATATATTATACTTTATAGAAATAAACTAACTAACAATATCCCTGTTGCATAATAAGAATTTATGTGTGCTACGCGTATAAGTATCATTTTACGATCGGCGGGGACTATCCATTGGTCATTATTGAGTAGCCAATTTTAATGCACATCATTACAATGTGTACAGTTAACAATAAAGGACTATAAAATTAGTTAGCGTAATTATTCATATTAGTAATCCACAACAATCAATGTGTATAATATGTAGATTTAATATTGTTCATTAGTTTCTTATCGTTTTATACAATATTATAATATTACATTTATTTGTGTATTACATAACAGAGTTAGGACTTGAAGTATTTGCATACTGTATGTAGGAACAAACAGTGATGCATAATAAATTTCAGTTTGGAGAATAGAAATTTGATTTTGTATTTTTTGTGGATTTTATAGTTTTATAGATTTTAATGTTTTTTGGTACTGTAATTCAATTATAAAATAATAATAATTTTAAGAGCTGATACATATAGGTACCAACTGAGCTAAGTTCGTATCTGGTATATAATAATATCTGATATTTACATTCAACTGCCATAGTTGTTTTAAGATATATTTTAATTTCTTTATTCGGAACCATAAACGTGACGATTTGATGCATGTTATTACCTGATCTGCCTGAGTAACCAATAGTAACTATTTATAACCAAAATGATCCATTATAAATCTCAAAAATCTCTGTTTGAGCACCTCTCAAAATACTAGAGATAAAATATTTTCACTATAATATAATTTTTGGAATACAATTCGGTTCTGATGTATTTTTTTTTGGATTAAATATATATCAACTGTACATATATGGTTAGACCAAAATATTTTCCTTATATTATATTTTTTTTTGATAAAGTAGTTTTCTGCTAAAATATGTATCTGATTAAATATTTTCTGAAATATTTCCAAACAAGAATTATAAAATATACTTGGCAATATTGGTTTGGCTGTCTCTGCTCAGAACCGTTTTTCGTATAGGTACAACGATAGGTGTATCATTGAATTCAAATTTAAATTTAACACATTTATTAAAGTGATCCACTTGACTCTTAATGTGCAGCAAGGATTTCCGGAATTCATAACTTATGCTAACAATCGTAATAAACTTTATAGACTATAGAGTAAAATAGCCACAAATCATAATATTATATATAATAATGAGTAATGACACACAAAAAAAATGTGGGTAAGTAGATGTCTCTCTGTTGTACAGTAGGTTAAAACATGGTTTTTTTAATGATTTTTTCTGACTGCACAAACTTATTCCCACTCTTGGGCTATAATAGGGAATTTGTTTAGGTAGACCAAACCCTACAGACTTTTATCCATTGAACTGGCAGGGGTGGCTCCAGGGGGGCCCCCCTCCCAAGGCTATGTTTTTAAACAATTTTATACTGCTAAAAACAAAATTACAAAACAGAATCATCAACATTTTCTGAAAATTATGATTTAGTTACCCCCTAATCATGTTTCTGGAGCCGCCCCTAGAACTATGTCGGCTATACTACATACTACCTAGTACCTACTACCCAACCGTCTACTGTATTCTGTACTATCTACGTTTTTTACTTTCATAAGCCTGCATATAGGTACTCAGAATCGATATGTAAAAACATATAAATTCCTACTCTATCTTGATACACCAAATAAATCATTTTATATTAATGCACTATTTTTATTGTAAATTTGTAAATAATAATTTTACATTTTGTTTGTAAATATAAGTAATAATACTTACTAAGTAATATTTACTTGGAAAAGGTAATTTGTAATAATAATTGTTTATAAAAATAAAAACAATCGATTGACCAGGTACCTAATTTCTTTATAATTTTTGTAGTATAGGTACTTTAACATCAAACAATAGTTGAAATGATAATTTTGACTGAATCAAAATTCGTCTAGACTACTACAACTTTTACAAAGAAAAATCGTTAGGATATGTTTAAGTAAAAATACTTTTTTTGGTTCAACTAAAGACAACTTTAAGTTATTAGATGTGTTACAATTGGAGTCTGTATATAAAAAAAATAACTATTGCATATATAATTAAAAACTTTTAATCCTTTTTGGATATGATAAAATAGGGCATTTGATGTCAGAATAGAGCTTATTCTAGAAAAGTGTTTGTTCAAAATTCATAGATTATTTAGGTCCAAAAAACTACAACTTAATGCCAGTATATATTATAAAAAGGGACATATTCTATACAGAAGGGAATCGTACCTAAAGGAATGAAAAAACAATTCAGATTTGGTTATTTTCAATACTTGAATAAATAATAAGGAATTCTATTTACTGTTGTAATTTAATAATAGTTATAAGTATTCTAATTGTATAGATCAATTATTCAGGTCTTGTCTGCTTTTCTTATTTATAATTAATTTGTTCACATTTTGTTATATAATTCTGACTCTATACCACCACCACAAGCATGTGCTTAAAGGTGGTAGATATATTTTTTTTTTGTTTTTTAAAAGTTTTATAATAATGAATAATATAAACAATTTTTAATTTTAAAAGAAAAATTGTTTTTTCTTTTTTAAAGTTTACTCAATTATTGTTTTATGATGTACAATAAAATATATCATCCTGAAATTCTTTTTTTGCACTGCACAAAGTAACAATTTTCACTGCACAATTACTTTTCTCACTGCATAAAATGTGTCTCACTGCACACTAAAAAAAACCATGGGTTTCAATTGGGTCTCTGTAACGTATGGTGTTAAATTTGAATTCAATGATATAATATCATTGTATAAGAAAAACGATTCTGAGCTAAAACGGTCAGTCAGCCATATCATGATCAGTCATGATATTACTAAGTATATTTGAGAGAACTGACAATGTCCGTAAACCGCTCAAAATTAGTCAAAATATTTTCAAAATGGTGTACCTATAGAAAATGAAAATATAAACATTCAGTATAATTTTCATGTATCTACAGTTATTCGTTTTTGAATAACAACAAAATAACAAAATCGCTTCATGAGAAATCAAGTAAATATCAAATATCGTAAAAATATGAACTTCAAACGCTCATAAAAATTTAATTTGATTTCCTTAAAGACAAATTTTCAATCTTTTTTACCCAACAAATAAAATTTTATTGATATTTTTAGAAAAAAAAAATGGAAAATGAAAATGTTCCTAAACAGTTCAAAATAAATCAAAATATTTTGAAAATGTTATCGTGTATAGAAAATGCAAATATAAACAACCAGTAAAAATTTCATGTATCTACGGTCATTTGTTTTAAAAAGTTACACCTAAAGCACCAAATTCAATTTTGTGTAAAAATTCCCGTTTTTCCTTAAATTTTCTTATGTTTTTTTTTTGGTGCTTTTGAAAATTACTGGGAATTTTAAATTTTGACCTCCCCAATGCACCAACCATATTCACTTTCCAATCAAACAAGATACTGAAGTTGAAAATCGAAGCATTTTTTCGACTACTTATTGTGTATACAGACACAAATAAAATAAAAAAAAAAAACAAAACACACATCATTGTAAAAATTAATACATTCATCATTTCACTCAGAAAAAATAAAAATACATGCAATTTTCACTGGTTGTTTATATTTACATTTTATATACACGATAACATTTCCAAAATATTTTGAACTGTTTAGGGACATTTTCATTTTTTTTTCTAAAAATACCAATAAAATTTTATTTGTTTTTTTAAAAAGCTTGGAAATTTAATATAAACAACCAGTGAAAATTGCATGTATTTTTATTTTTACCCTTCGTTTATAATATTATTGGTAAATTTAATATTTTTTTTTTTTACATAAATTATCAATATAGGTAATAATATTTAAGGAACACAAAATCCTAAAAATGGTCCTGAATGTACTATGGTACATATACCTATTAAACTTATTTTATAAAATATTAAGATATTATAGCCTATTAGTAACTATATTACAAACAATAATATAGTAAATTTCGTATTTAAAGATTCCAGCTATAGGTACCTATCGAGGTACCCATTTACCTAAATTTATGATTAACTATTAATAATTATTATTTATTATCTACCTATGATAATTAAAAATAATAATATATTAGGCATTAGTTCAAAATTATCTTCAATTATCGTTAGGTAGATATTTTAAAACTCTAAAGTATATTATGTATTATTTATTATAATATGGTTATTACTTGATATGACATATTGACGTAAAAGTCAGTATGTATAGATGTAAGCAGTGAACGTTTATATTATTTTATAATATTTTTAAGGTTCTCTAGGACGGTAGATTGTTATAATATATACTGAATATTGAAAACTACAAATGCTGGGATGCGGTTGGAAATACTATACGGTATGCATGGAGGTATGATAAAATAGCACGTCATATTGTATGGAGGTAGACTTGGTAGAGCCGATGGCCTGATGCGATCCGGCGCAAAAAAAAGTGGGAAGACTGGTAGTGAAAGTAACGCTGCCGCGGCGGAACGATCAACATTACGAGCAGCGAGGACGCCCGAGTGTCGAACACAGTGATGAGAGGGGGGATCACACACGACGCTATGTGACACGCATGCGCAGCATAATGCGACACGCACGCGCACACATTAAACGCGCGCGCACACGCACAACAAGCGATGAATGATGATAGTCGTGGTGATACGCGCAGGCTACGAAGAAACACAATAATAATAATAGTAATAATAAATGTATAAGCTGCATAAAAAATGTTGTAGTCGTTCATAGGATCGTCGTTGTCGGTTATCACGGACGGAAGTTGTCGCGAGCAAAAAAAACAATTCAACCATCCGATCGTAGGTAGTCGTCATTGTCTCGTTATTTTCAAGTAAATACCTTACCGTTTTCCGCTCTCTCTGCTGCCGCCGCCGCCGCCGCCGCCGTCATCCGACGGACAACAGTACACCACACGCGCGAACGACTCGGAGACGACCGCGACGTCGTCGGTGGGCGACGCGACATCCGGTCCCGGAAGACATTTTGATTTCGGGAGTCCACCGTTAATTTTTTTTTTTTACTCTGATGCGTTACGGTGAGATCGATCTATCCGTTTCTGGTAAATGACGTGTTTGGATTGACGTGAAAATGGGACAAAAAGTGAGCAGCCTTGGAGACGTGTTCTCATGGAAGAATGCTGACTCGTCGAAAAACAACGATGGGTCGGGAGCCAGGAACAATCCACGCGAGTACAGCCCCGCTGCAGCTTCAGTTGTACCCGTCTGTGCAGTGCACGGGGTCCCGGTTACAGGGAACCAGCAGAATTTCGAGAACATTTACGTTTCCAACAGTGACGCGCCGTCCACATCAGGCAACGACCAGAACGTGAACGGTTGCGAAGCTCTAGCAACGGCTGCCGGCGTGGAGACAGTGACGTCCAAAAACACGCAGTCGTCGTCTACAAAGAGCACGGCTGGTTCCAAGAAACTCAACCACTGGGTTTTGCGTTTCAATTGTTCTCGTCCAAAGTCGAAGAGTAAGTGCTATAACCCACCCGAAAACGTTCCCGAGCCAAACGAAGTCAAGTGTGAGACGTGCGTGTGCACACGATATGAGCGCACGGAAGACAATCATCAAATGGATGACGATGATGTGATGTACGATCCTTCTCCTGTGCCGGTCGAAGACGAAGAGCAGAACGAAGAGGATGAAACATCGCAAGACATGCTTGACTTTGAAGGTGCTTTCAATGCTTTCAACGCATTTGAAAGTCATAGCCAGTTGGTATTGCCTTCATTCGATGAAGGCCTTATGGAACTGCATGATATAAATGGTGAAGAATTATTTATGAATGAAGACTTTGAAGACAGGGCATACAAAGAACGGGCCAAAGAAATCCAAGAGGGTATCGAACCACCACCAGGATTCAGGCCTGGGTTACACATACAGTTGGTAGAATTTAGTTTGCCCAAAATGACTATAGACAATTTAACCTCATTATTCCATAGAGCTGCCCTTACAGCTTTAACTGCACCACATGATATGGATGACAGCCATCGAATACATACATCCATTGACTACATTCACTACTTAGTTCCTGATCTACTTCAAATCACAAATTGTTCGTTTTATTGGGGCAAAATGGACAGATATGAGGCAGAAAAATTGCTTGAAAATAAACCCGAGGGCACCTTTTTACTTAGAGATTCAGCTCAAGAAGAATATTTGTTTTCTGTAAGCTTCAGGAAATATGGTCGTTCTTTACATGCACGAATTGAACAGTGGAATCATCTCTTTAGTTTTGATTCAAGGGATCCTGGCGTTTTTGCATCATCTACAGTTTGCGGACTAATAGAACATTATAAAGATCCTACCTGCTGTATGTTTTTTGAACCTATGCTGACCATACCGTTACATCGAAATTTCACATTTTCTTTGCAACACACATGCCGCGCAGCTATTTGTAGTCAAATTACATATGATGATGTCAATCAATTGAAACTTCCAAAATTATTAAAGGCGTACTTAAAAGAGTATCATTATAAGCAACGTGTAAGGGTACGCATATTTGATTCAGAAAATTAATCTCCTTTTTATAAACTCATTTAGTTTTATGTATATTTTATATCGATATCTATAGTTATATGAATAGTTCTAACATTATTTGTAATGCTAGATAAAATGTTAATTGTTTCTTGTTTAAATAAAAACAAATTGGTACTAACTTAAATTACATAACTTATTTCCATACCTACCTGCCAAAATGTACTTGTACATTACTACCTGTTTAAATTAATTATTTAGTTTTACTATATTATTAGATTATAGCCGATTATAAGTTATATTTCAAATTTTTATTAACCACTTTTAAATTTTAAAAAATTATAATTATTTAAATCTGACGTATCTTCAATCATTTCTTTGCATGCCTTAATTGGTCAACTAAAACATTTTATACTTTATTTCAACTTATCACTCAAAATTATGTATTTATTGAAATGATTTGGTATGTAATATTAATACATTATTACTTATTTTTTTTTGTTATTTTCATAAATATTTTCTTACTTTAGGTTTGATGGTAACAAAGATTTACCCATATTATAATTATTATTATTTTTTTATTTATATATAATAAGTTTTAAAAAATTAATATAGTTTAAATTTAAAAAAATAATGAATTAAAAATGTTTTGGTATAGTCCCAGAAATATAATATATATGAAACAAGTTTGTATGTGTATAAGATTTTAACGTGACATAGCATTATGTTATGTATTAATTATTTTTGAAGGAAATCTCTGTATGGCTTTAAGTTTTTATTATGTATTTGACTTAAAATATCGGCATTATCAGTGTTTTCAATATTTTTAATATTATTAGAGTTAAAATGTTTATTTAATTTTTTTTTAATTTTTTACATATTTGTTAAATTTGAATATTTGATTAAATATCTATCTTGCACTTATGAAATATTAAAAGTATATATGTAGCTATAAGCAAGTATTTTCATGTTTTCGTAACAGTTTTTGAAATTAATTTCTAAAAAAAATTATTTAAGTATAAAATAGGCTAATATTGTTAATCATATTTACTATTATTATAATTTATAATAATGTTATTATTAGTATTAATATTTTATACACGTAAAATATATCAATCTCTAAATGTTTAAGAAACACCTATTTATCATACAAACTGAAACAAAATATTTAAGGTATTTGCATAAGTGTAGTATGAAGTTTGTCACTATAAATAAATAATAATTTTTGTGATATGATTTGTACATAAATGTCATACTTTAATAATATTTTTAAAAAATATTTTTGAATCTTGCCAGTTAATAATATTTTCATCTACCTACCTAATAAAATATATCTGTAACGCATTTTGAAATATTTTGTCATACATTTTATTGATCTTATTCAAAATGTTTTATGTCCATAATAAATTAATTGTTCCATGTTCATATACAAATATAATAATTTTTAAAAATGTATGTGATGTTTTGTTAATTTATTAAAAAATATTTATGGAAATAGGTACTATAACAATTAGTAATTCCAGGAAGAAAATGTAAGAAGGTTGCTTATAAGTTATAGTAGTACATTTACTATGTGGTATTCTATTGACTAAAAATTAAATATATTTAACAACTATAATATAATAATATATACAATAACATGCATGTATATAAAATGTTATATATTATAATATAGTATATTTCATTGTAAAACAATAAAAAAATGCGAAACAATTAATTATAGTCAAATTTAAGCGTTTTAACATTTTAGAAGAAATTGTAGCGCTTATTTATCGGTTTCATAGTTAAGAGGTCTGACATCTGACGTATGAGTCACATTGTGTTCCTTCACTTTTTAAACCATATGTTGTTATAAAAGTAGTTTCTGTTATTCTTAGTTGATCTATTCAGTAAAAAAAAAGTACCCGTGAAACATAGTATAATTTATATTTTTAATGTTTAAGATAGTTCAAATATATATTATTCTATGATTGACTTGTAGACTATGGTAAAATATTACCTACTTCAGTCTTGATTTATTCTTCAATTGTAGATGAATCGACATTTCTATTCCCTATATGTAATATGAGTAATTACTATATAATCTATATAATATATTTTATTGGTATCCCTTATTATGCATGCTGCATACTCAATGAAAGAATATTAAAATTATAGGATATGGAAATTATAAATTAACAAAATATAAAACAGAATACCAAGTTTTCTAAATTATTATTAACCATCATCTCTAACACTTGGTAACTTGTTATTATTTTCTTGCTTGAGTTTAAGTAATACTGTTGAATTAGCAAGCAAAACAAATTGTGAATCTTATTTTTACTTAAAATATATAGGTTATAATGGTTATATAGCATATTATGTTTATCTATACAATATAATATTATGTAAATGTGTAAATAGGTACCTTGACAACAAAACTCATAATAGTTTTATTTGTAGGTATTATAAATTATATTCCTTTCATAAATGTAACATTATCTTATTATTTTAGATTCAATTTAATACAAATAGCAGAAAACAATTTTCAAAAATGTTAAATATTTTAGGAAAAATAAACAATAAAGCTAAAACCCATAGAAAAACTACAAATATGAAAAGTAGAAACTCAATGTTAAAATCCGTATCCAGTGATTTATTGTCTTACATGATAAGTAAAGAAAATTGCGGCATTAGTTTGTATGGTATTTGCTTATTATGACTAGTTATTATTGCATTATAGATGGTACATAATTGTTGTACAGGTACACTCATATTCAAACGTTATTAGATATGTTTATATTTCAAAATCCTATACAGCCAATAACATATTTTGAATACTACAGTGAAAATATTAAGATGCTATATCAGAAATCACAACCAGATCGTGATTTGAATTTTTTGAATAACATTAACATTGATATTTATAACAAAATAATAGAAATATATAAAGTATTGTTTAATTTATATTAATGTGGACTCTTAAATGGGATAAAATTTAAATATTTTGCATGCATGGTGAATTTTAGGATACCATATATAATGTCAGAGAATATAAGACAAATAGCATATCCTATGGGTATGAAGTCGAAGGTGAATATGATGATATGCAATACAATGAAGAAATGGATGAGATCAAAGTACAAGACTTATCAAAAATCAATAGTATCTTCAATAAAGCAGGGTGTGGCATAACAAATGATGAAGTTCATCTTATTGGGATAACTATAGACCAAATGTCACAACTAGGGAAATTTAAAAATATTAGGTATATATATTTTAGATAATGCTGTTACAATGGTGCCTATTTTCGGTTTAAAAATTGTAACGAATATATTCATGTTCACAGATATTGGGGTAAAATAATAGGTTTAAAATGTAGCTATTACATTTTGGAGTGTGATTGGAAAAATAAAGAATTAGAATATAAAATAACGGTAAGCAGTAAAAATTTTATTGACTATACATTCTCAAGTCAAATGATATAATATTGGTAATTTTTTTAAATTTATATCATGATTTAAAAATCTTTATTGAGATTTAAGAGGACCTTTTACCCGCATTTGTTGTCTCCGTCTTACAAGCGAAGCTGGACAAGCTAGTCATTTTTTTCAACTAGTTGAAGTTAAGCTACTTTAATAAAAAAAACTAACTAAGTTTGAATATAAGTTAGTTTCTGAAACTGTCCAAATTTCTAACTTAGTTAGAAGTCAGTTTGGTGAAAATAGTAACTTAAGTTAGAGTAGAAGTTAGAAGTTTTTTTTATAAATTAAAAAACCTTTTTGTTGAAATGTAAATAATAAGTTATCTAACTTAAATTATTCATTAAAACTTAAAAATTGTATTAAACCCCCAGTAATTTGATTAAAATGTTCTAATTAGGTAAGTAATAATTTAAATTTATTGGTATTTCACTTATCAGTTATTAGAAGATAAAGGGTGAAACAAAATAAAAAATATATATAACTGTATGACAATTTAAAATATTAATTAAAATTAAAATATGCATTATGGAATGAAAAAAAAAATAGTAATAACTAGTTAGGTAGTTTTTTTTCTAACGAATTAGATTAGACTATTTTACACATTAAATTCAACTAGTTAAGTTACAAAGTTAATATGAATTAAAACTAACTAGTTAAGTTAGAAAGTTACCTAAAAACTAAAAAAGTAACTTAAACTTTCTAACTAGTTAGTGCCCGCCTTTGCTTACAAGTACATAACATATTATATCAAATTTTCGTTCAGTAGTTAACTTTTATCTTCGTTAGTTTAAAGATTAGAGAGAATTGACCTATTATGAAACTTAGCGGTAATAACAATATCTGTGTTTGCAAGTCAAATTTTTACGATAATTATATAAATGAACGAGTTTTGCGTATATAAAATAGGCAATATCGCAATTAAAACTCGTTTAAAAACTGAATCATCGGAAAATACCCACTAATGAACCCAGATAAAGTTCTTAACATTAAGTTTCATTAATTCACTCTAATTTTTAAAAAAACGAAGCTAAACGTGAATTACTGAGCGTAAATATGCCACACAACGCACTTGTAAGACAGAGACAACAAATGCAAGCGTAGCGTCCTCACTCCTCTTAACAAAAACTAGGTATTGTCTGTAATTTGAATAATTATAAAATATTATACATTACATCGTAATGTATTTTGTTGCAGCTCTTAAATGAAATATTTAATTCCAACAATAAAAAACAAGTATCACATGATTATGAAAATGATAACGAAAATCAAGAAGATGTAGAATTAGAAAAATATATTTTATCTGAAGAAGAAAATGGATATTTTTCCAGAACAACATTATCAGGTCTAATTAGCAAAGGTATAAACGACGAATTGGAGGGTTTCGATTCTATAAAATCGGTAGAGTGTTCTTTTCCAGCCACAGAACTCGGTAGTGATGATTATTTATCACATGAAATATTTGGTTTCGGAGCTAATAAAAAGGTTCATATAATATGTTTTTCCCAAATACCAGCTTTTCTTATAATATTTATTATTTAGTCGTACTTTGTAACGAATCAATTAAACGATTCATGGATTGAGTTGCCACTTCTCAAGCCTCATCATATTATTCAATCACGAGATATCAAACGATACTTTACAGGAGATTTGGAGTCGCCTGTAAGAATAACAACGATTACATCGTTATTCATATATTTTTTGTTGACCTGTTAGAAAATATTTAGTAGGTGCCTAATAATAAAATATCTTATACGTATACAGGTTGAATCTTATCCATTGTTTCAAGGTTTGGAAAAACATTATCTCAGAGCTCAAATTGCAAGGATAACAGCTGCGACTCAAATATCACCACGTGATTATTTTGTACTCGACTACAATTCAAATTCATATAAATGGAGAAAATTAAACTCTTTTCAATCGAAAGTGATGTCACAGAAATGTAAGTTTATAAAATCGTATAGGTACATATTTTACTTCCATCGATCTGAATGTTACCAATTTACCATGTTAGAAGGTCATGGTAATAGTAGGTATTAATTACTCACTAATTAGTATTTATAATTTGTTTATTTCTTACCTATTATGAGTAAATGCTAAAATACCTACAATAATATTCAATATTTTAAAAATCTAATAATTGTAACATCTATATATTATATATAGACAGGGCTGGATTAAGGGGGAGCCCACTAGGCCCAGGTCCCGGGGCCCCACAAAATAATTAGTTTTTTTTTTAATTTTTCTAGGAACTTGCAAAAAAATATTGTATTTAGAATAGACTTTACTTAGAAAAGTAAACGAATCATTATATTGGGATATGAAAAATAAAAAGAGATAACTTTAAAGGTTACTTGTATTTACTAGTTAATTATATTAACATTTTATACGTCTGTATTAATTATGGTTAATTGACAATAAGCAAAATTGATAAGAAATAAATAGCATGATGAGGGAATAACCCATCAGACATCAGTAGGTACCATTATAATTTTAAAGTTTATGTTTTAAAGAATGAAGATTAACTAAAAATTCTTATATCTCAATCTTATGTGGGCCCTGGGGCCCCCACAACCCTAAATCCGGCCCTGTATATAGGCAGATATTGCTTGAAATAATTCTCATTATTTTATTTTCTAGACGAAGTAATGTATGTATTTATTTTACAATGATGTGTGTTTTTTTTTTGTGTGTATTAGTGTATAGGTATGTACACGATTTATGGTAGAAATAATGTTTTGATTAACAACTTCAATGTCTTTTCTGGTAGCAAATTGGATCTAATTGATAATTTTGAGTTTAGAGGGTCAAGAGTAAAAAATAACTAAACAAAATAATCATTAAAAACAAAAAAAAATTAAGGAAAATGGGAATTTTTACACAAAAAAACGACAACATTGATTTTCTTATTTGGTTGTAAATTGTAATACTATTCTGATCGTAAATACTTGATAATTTCAACAATTTTTTTAATAATATAAGTATTTTCTATGAATGGTATATTTAGAAAAATATTTTGATTCTTTTGAAGCTAATTATAGATATTTGACTTTTTTATTTGTTTTAAGTGTCTTTTTATAAATATAAATAAAAAAAGTTGCTCTGCTGCAGTGCAGCAGGTTAGAAGTGAGTGACTGTATAATGGATGGTATTAAATTTGAATTCAATGATATAATATCATTGTATAAGAAACACGATTCTGAGAGGAGACGATATGTCAGTCTAGGTATAAGACATATTATAAACTTATCTATGGTATTAAAAAAAATTGACCTATATTATAGTACCTATAATAAATTCCAAATTAATCATATCACAATATCCATTAAGTCCATATAACCTCGTTCTACATCAATAACAAACAGTGATACTATCATAGATATATAGTAGTAGACTTTAGAAGTTTCAAGTGCCCACGAATAATATTATACAATCATAAAAAAAATAACTAAAATAGTTTTTCTAGGTTTTTTAATATGTAATTTCGTCCAAATTTGAACTTAAAATGACTAGAAAAATAAACTGTGCTTATGTATTTTTTAGTATTTTTGATAACAGAATAAACTACTTCTTGTTTTAAATTTTCAATTCTTAAATATAAAAGTTGAACATTTTACAAATTTTTAATTACAACATAATTATTCAATTTTTAATTTGATAAATTTATAGAAAATTCATAGAAAAAAAAAATTGAAACTGACAATGTCCGTAAACAACTTAAAAAGAGTCAAATTATTTTCAACATTTTATCGTGTATAGAAAATGAATATAAACATTCAGTGACATTTTCATGTATCTACAGTCGTTCGTTTTTTAATTACAACAATATAATAAAATCGTTACATGAGAAATTGAGTGAATATCAAACGTTGTAAAAATATGAATTTCAAACGTTCATAAAAATTTAATTTGACTTTCTTGTAGATATTTTTTTTTTTTTAATAAAGGTAGACAAATGTATGAGGAATCCTGTATCAAATTTTTAAATCTAAGATTAAAAAAGAAAATTCTTTATGAATTTCCAACTCAAAATAATTTGGATATGTTCGTAATTTTTACGTATTTTGTCAATATTTGAACTTCAAATGCTTAAAAAAAAAAATTGTAACTATGGATTTTTAATTTTTTTTCATCCGTCTTAAACAATATATCAGGAGCCTTCTATTAAATTTTTATGTTTTTGTACCCAACAAATAAAATTTTATTGATATTTATAGAAAAAAAAATTAAAAAAATGGAAATTTAAAATGTCCGTAAAGAGATAAATATAACTCAAAATATTTGGAAAATGGTATGGTGTATCGAAAATGCTAAAATAAAGATTCAATCAAAATTTTATGTACCTACTGTTATTTGTTTAAGAGTTGCACCAAAAACCAAAATCGATTTTCTTGAAAAATTCCCGTTTTCCCTTAATTTTTCTTTTGTTTTTCACGGCGCTTTTGAAAACTACTCGAAAAATTTTACTTTTGACCCCCCAAAGGGCCAACTAGATTCACTTTCCTATCAGAAAAGATATTGTTAAGAAAATCCAATAACTTATACTGTCCTAAAAGGTGATGACTGATGACAGACACAAAAAAAAAATAAATAAAAACACACATCATTGTAAAATCAATACATTCATCGTTCTACTCAGAATCTAAAATTAAAATTTCACTAAGTAAAAAAGCTTTAAAATGTAGTAAGACTAGTACAAGGCGCCACCTAAGTTATGAAGTTATATATAATTTGTTATTATCTTTTATAAGTTTGTTATTATAGCTAGGTATTTTAAAAATATTAAAGATACGTAGACACGTTTTTTTTTTTATAAGCATTTGAAGTTTCAAATGTTGATATAAGTAGAAGCTATTTTATTGTAATTAAAAAATACTTTCTCGTGGTGACTTGAAACTTTTACGTTTATTATTATATTGTATATATCTACCTGTCCTACCTACACAATGACATTTTCAAAACCTTTAGATTACTTTGTGATATTACCAATTTATACAGCGAACCTATTCACATTTCACACCCACACCATTCTAATCTACAATAAGTCGATATCAACTCAAAAATTAATAAGAATAATATATAATATATTTATATATATAATAATATGCCTACTTATATGCATAGGTATCTACTATTTTAATAATTAAATATTAAAAATCTAATAAATGAAATGTTTTTGTAAAAATAATTCAACCTACTTTACCTATTAGTAGTTATAAAATAAATTACTATGATCTCTATAATTTATTAAAATTAATGTTTGTCCGTGTGTCCCTTATGGATTTCTAAACGGCTGGACCAATTTTGATGACATTTTTTGTGTGCATTTGTGTGGTTCTCGGGATGATTTATATTCACAAAAGAGGTCATCTATACGTGCAACAAAGTGCGCGGGATCAGCTAGTAGAAACATAAATATAACATAAATTCATAAAACATACTTAGTAGATAGGCTGACAGGCCTTCTTCAATCAGAACCGTTTTTGTATGCAATCATATTTTCATCATTGAATTCAAGATTAACTCATACTTTATAACATATGAGTAGCTAAGGTGGGGGGGAGGGCTTAGCCCACTAGTGTGAATAATAGCCTCCTCAGAATTATTTGTATTTCATGTAGGTAGTTTATAGTGTTTTTTTATTATTATTAATTAGTAATTATTTTTGCAGCTCCTCCCCCCCCAATATATTGCCTACGCCTATGCTTTACAGTGACTTACCTACTCAATGACAGAAACATTTGACACCTATTTGGGTGCCGACTATTAAGTACTGACTATCTGACTTGCTGTACAGTAGAGCGATTACTTACTTTCCTGCTTTTTTAATTACTTAATAGGTATCCTATTATTCTTTTTACCATTTTTTATGATTGATAGTACCTACATAAAGCATATATATTATAATAATATAAGTAGGTAGTTGTATCCATTATGTCATTATGATGATGTAGGTTATTACTGAGTCAGAGATCAAACACTACTAATTACCTAGCTTTTCTATCATTATACTACTCTTTTCTATCTATCATTTTTATTCAACATAATATTTTTGTATCTGTTTTAGTGTACCTATATCAATTTTATTAAAATTATTATTAATTTAATTCCCACACTTTACACTTTCGCTCACGGTGCTCATTCACCTATACTTCATTTAAATCAAACACATCACTTTTTATTATTATATATTTATAATATGCCCAAAGTACAATACGCTATAATTCTATCTAATCGTAATAATATACATATAACTTTTTATATACCTATTATATTATCATATCCGTTTAGAAAACTATTCTGGTATTACCGTTTTTTAAGGTAGGTACCTATAACCACAAAAATAGTGATTAAAATGAATCATAAAAATAATTGTATAGGTTCCTACCGAACAATAATTATTAATATTACGATACATGCGTAATTTAATAATTTTCATAGAATTGTATGACTGTAAGTATGTAAGTGTGTATGGTAGTTGTCCTGCGCCTGCACACCAAGTTAATAGCTTTATAAATTATAAGTACCTACATCAGGTTACTGTATTAGAGCAAACAAAGCCCTGCGAGTTATAATGGGGAATAAAAACATCGACGTTCGTCTTACTGCAATAACTCGTGCTCAACGTTTTCATGTGGCCCCTGACCTTTATCGTATCAGTATTATTAAGTTTATTTTAAACTATATAGTCTATAGACATTAGGTACCTACCTTAACAATAGCGAATATTAAACAATATTTATCTATTTCATAATATTAGTATACTTATAACATACAGTATTACAGTATACAGTATATCTACTCAGTAAGATGTAAGTAGGTAGTTCTTCAATCGTTATAATTGGATATTATGATGTTGTGACGACGTTTCATTGTTGTCTATATAGTTATAAAGGTCACCAATATTGACATTACAGCGTATAATATGTTTCTATGTTAGGTGTATTATATTACTAGTTTTACGTAGGTATTTACGTATAGCCGTATAGCCGTATAGGTACCTACATTGGTTATATTATTATATTTTACAATTAGTAGGTTTCGCTGTTTATCTGTTAGAACTGAGAACTAATAAAATAATAAGATGGCTTTAATCGTACCTAATATCTCTGAAAAACGTTAAACTTAAAATAATAACGTTTCTAGGGATCCACGAGTATGCAGTGAACGTGGATTACAATCCACTATCGGTATATGATTTATTGGAACCGAGCAATTGGGTACATCACACTCCCTTGATATCGGAAAAAGGAGTGACCCAGGCATGGACCAATATTATAGAGTCCGGAGAAGACTTACAACAAGTAATATTTATTGACTGATCGATCGGAATGAATTTATAGTCGATAGGTTGTCAAATATTTATAGCTAAACTGGTAATTACCAATTTGGTATATACAGATATAGTTATAGGATAGGCATCTTAACGACCATTATTTTATAGTGCCTATAATCTATATTATAGATGTAGCACGTACAATCCAATAAAGTGATATATATAATAATTTAATAAAATTACATTGCTCAGAACTCCGAGGGCATTGATTATGGTTGCAAGCTTAGGACGAACTTAGAAATCGGCAAAGGAGACGGTGACCAACTGGATATATTTAGAAACCTGTCAAATGACGCTTATATGGGTGAAATGCCACCATGGAAATTCGAATTGACCAATCGGTTTGACCACACGAATACGTACGCGACCATCCGGTCCAATCTTTGGCCCGGGGCACACGCAGTTGCGCGTGAAAAGTACTTATAAATTATAATCCACATTCGACATTCCTATTATTTGTTCGTTTCCGTTTTGGTTTCTATTTAAGTACATTGTTTTCAATATTTTGCTGTGCACAGCCTTTTGGATTACACGTATCACGGTTGGGGCCACAAATGGGGCGCCTTTAGTTTCACGGTCCAGCCGTTAAGTGGATATCAGCTGTCCAATTCCTATCAAGACGATATCGGCATGACCATCGAGATGGGAGACCCGACTCGCGAAGAAGAATTGAAGTATTTAGCAATAGTCCAAAAGAGGAAGGAAAAACGAGCTCGTAGGAAAGTCAACGCCCTGCGACCGTTTTCTGCAGCAGACGAGGACGAGGAAAGAATCCTCAATAAACACGACTACGAATGATGATTGTAACGATGGTACCGTTGATCGTATCACTATTGTTATATTATATAAATATAGGGATTATCCGCGTACAATGTTCCACAATATACAGTACCTACCTACTTCCTATAATACCTAAGTAGTTTACCAACTTGCTATGTATAATATTGTGCTCTTATATTCATATTTTTTTGTTTTATAATTATAATCCTATATGGCTGTATGCAGCCTTGCAATAGTATTGGAATTGCATTTGTTTGATTTATCACGTAAAATATATTCTATTCAATATATAAGGTTAGCTACAGTGTTGGGTAAAGATAACCAAAATTTCATCTGGATAAGATAAAATATAACATCATTTTTTTTTATCTAGATAAAGATAAAAAAAATAGATAATTTGTTTTTAAATTATATTATAAATAGTATAATTTATTACTTTATTAGTAATTATCAATTAGGTAATATTTATTAATTAATAAATCCTTAATGTAATTTCTTAACTTAAATGATATACAATTAAAATTGTTAATTATAACTTCAATAAAAATAAAATAACAAAATAAAACTGACAATTTTTCAGTAAACATTCTCGTAAATTATTGGCTATTTCAGTATTTAAAAATATTCTTATTATTATATTATTTATCTAGATAAATTACCACAGATAACCATTACATTTATCTAGATAAGATAATTTAAGAAATAATTTTATCTAGATAATTCCCAACACTGTTTAGCTACATAGGTGCCTTCTTCGGTTGAATTGGAAACAAAGTCTTAAACTTAAAAGTCAACTTTCAATAAAATCCTTCGTTTCTAAAAAAAAAATTATATCTACACATACTATTTGAAAAATTAGCATTTACGCATAGTACATTAGTATTGTCTTAGTCTATAAATTATAATTATTATACAGGAAATAGTAATATTATACATTATTAAGGGTGTCATCGGTGCCGGTTGTTCAAATTCTATAAAATTTTAAAATGATGTTTCACAATATGTTAGTTGCTACCTCAATTATAAATTATAATACTTTTCCACTAATCTACGGCTCGATACCTATGTATGGGGGGGAGGGGATTTAAGCGTTGAAACGGTGTATTATATCAATAATAATGACTTCACAGGAAAAACTCTCACGCATCATTGATATTTGACATATTTTGATACTTTATTTTTATTTGAAAGGTGAGAATTTTTCAGGGGGGATTACAGCCCGAATCTTTATTTTACTTTAAATAATGGTAGAAAAATACCTACTTTTGAAAAATAACAAATATTGTGCATTAATCAAATGCATATTTTAGTTTCTATAATAATTATAATTTTGGAAATAATTCTTTGATCCGCCCAGAAAACGTTCTCTTCTTTTAAACCAAAAAAAGTGGACGAAATCCGACTATTTTATTGCAGGGCGTGAGAGTTTTTCCTGTAAGACATGATTTTGTACTAAAAACTCACTTTTTTTTTACAACGAAATGTGTTTAATATTTAAATAATTTTGAACTTTGATAGGCATCTACCGTCTTAATACAAAAAACCCAACATAATTTTACATACTATATTATAATATATCGATTTAACATTAACACGGTTTTAGTTAAGTATTTATTCAAAAAAGTTTTATACGTTATAGTAGATCCAACCGGAAACCATAAGTAGGTACCTATCAAATAATTTGTGAGTAATATTTAAAGTAGATACAATTAATAAATAGTAATTATGTAGGTACAATTATTGTACAAATGATTAGATAAAAGTTGAAAAAATATCAATTTAAATTAACTAGCTATATTATTACCTACTAATAATAAATCTATAGTTGTGTATTTGTGTCAATGGCTCAGAGATAATTAACAAGAATGACACATAATATATATTTATTCAATGACAAATTAATATTTAATATAATTTATAATATTGACGAATGCTGGTGAAACAATTAGTATGTAGGTACTTCAGAGAAAATATTTTCCTATAGTTATTTCTGTTGTATAAATAATTATTATAGAATTGTATGTAACTGTAACTTTAAAACAAATGACCGTAGGTACATGACATTTTCACTGATTGTTTATACTTGCATATATTTTTATACACGATAACATTTTCAAAATATTTTGATTTATTTTGAACTGTTTAGGAACATTTTCTGTTTCCAATTGTATTAGTTTTTTTTTCTACGAATGTCAATAAAACTTTATTTGTTGGGTAAAAAAGGTTGAACATTTTATAGAAGGCTCCTAGTATATTGTTCAAAGGCAGATGAAAAATATTAAAAATCCTTAGTCACAGTTTTTTTTACAAGCATTTAAAGTTAAAAAATTGACAAAATATGGAAAAATATGATATTATATCATTGAATTCAAATTTGTAACCTACCATACAGCAGAGCACCTTTTTTTGTTCAATAATTAATTAACAATGTTACATTTAGTGTTTAAAAAAAAAAATAAGGAAAGACCAATTGTTTTTTTTTCTTTTAAAATATTAATAGTAAATTTAAAGATTTTTTGGGATTATGGATGGCTGAAGTTTTTTTTTTGGAGGGGGGCACTATAACTACGAACATATTGTTGAACTCACTACTCAGTGTAACTAAGTTAAATTATTAAGGTTCATGAAATGAACATATTATATATTTTGATCCATGTCATAAGACGAAAACCATTATTTACACTTTGTGTAATAGGTACCTATCTTAAATTAATTAAACAATAATACGGATGAATTTCATTAAATCTAAATAATAACATTAAACATGGTCATCTTATCTTATTATAGGTACAAAGTTCTTTTATATATCTATGTCCTATATATTATTAGGCTACGAAGTGCATAATGAACAAATAT